GTAAACACTGGTAACTTCTGTGTAGAAATCTCACAGCTGACGCTTCCTCCTAAGCTTTTCTGTGTACACATGAACACAAGGATTTAGCACAGAGAACACAGTCTGCGTGCACGATTCATGCAAGATGGTAAATCACAATATTGCACTCAAAAGAAACTGAACTAGTTTTGGAAACAGCACCCAAGCCTCTTCCTACGACCTCTACCAAAAGAGACTAAGGAACAAATTCAGACTTGGCAAACACAATCCGAAATGAAAGACTCCAAGACGATCGGTATTTTCAGCAATAACTGAAAATCAGTTTAGGCAGGAGCTACTACTTGCACGGCAGATTTTGTCTCTATTCTAAAATTGACTGTCACCCCTAACCTCTGCCCAAAAGAAGGAACCAGACCCATTACACACTTTGTTAATGCCAGACCCGAGGTCTGACACAAGCGCTAGGTTAGTTCTAGCCACGATTCAAGTGTTCTTTTGTCATTTTGGTGGAATACTGTGTCACAGAATTGCAGTGAGAAGAGTGACTAAGGATGAGGTGTCAGTCCCAGGTCAGATTTTCCCAGCTTTTCTAAACGTTAACAAGTGCCTTCAAGTTCCTCTAGCAATAGTCTGTGGTTTCAAGTAAATTCACACGTGTACCCTCACCACTGGAAACCAAAAATGTTCACGTTTTCCTTACAATTTACTCCTAAATCGCTTTTCATTTTCAGCGCTTTATTCACCCATAGCAGGTTCCAGGAAAGAGCTAAATCTGCCGGGAATTCACTTTCACTTCTGTGACCTCAGTGGGCGAAACAAAAGGCTCATTCAGGTGCCCTGGCACCGTGCCTGGCGCGCAGGGAAGGTCCCTCCAGCCCTCCTCAAGCGGGCACTAGTGCAGTCATCTGGCAGAGCCCTCACCCTCCTAACTGCAGCTGAACCCCTCTCCAGCTTCCCGACACACAGTAATCGAAGCAGCTCTGTCCTCAGGGCAGGAGCGCGTTCGTGTCCGCTAGCACAAAGGAACATGGGGTCGGGGCCTCGTGAGAACAGAGGACAGGATCGTGGCGCTGCAACCTGAACCTCAGCTTCCCGACAGATGGTTCCGTCGTGCAACAGGTATATGACCCAATTCAAAAAAGGAATTGAGGAAGGTCATGGTTTTGAGAATTTAAATTAACCCCTTCAGTTCTGGTGTGTGGTTATTGATTCGCACAGATCTGTCAAACTCTTCACCTGCTACTACCTCTCTGTGAAAGTCAACACAGTGTATTGAGCAAAAAAGTTCAGTTACAGGGGACAAACCAATTACACTTTTGTATTCGATGGGACAAATATTCCCACTGAACGATGTGGAATTTCCCAAACTCTTTGCATGATGGTACTTGAAGTAAGAAACCACAGCGTTTTAAAAGCTGAGACAATCACCCGAAAAAGAAATCAATCTTGGTTTATCCCGGGAGCTGCAAAAACATTAGCCTGGGAGCTCGTGACCATCCCCTCCAGGCAGTCCAGTCCAACCCTGGAAGCCCAGGACTTCTAACGCTTCTTTCTGCAGAAGGCAAAGAGAAGCCCTAAACCTCATTTCTCTTCTACCCAAGACCTCAAAACAGGGATGAAATAAAAACTTCTGTAATACCTACCTTTTCCATTCTTCCTCACTTTTATCCATGCTTAAAGACAGACACCATTAAATGCACGGGGACACGGGGGAGTTTATTACTGCATGGTTGGGTTTTGAGATTTATCAGATGGTCATAATGGGCTATTCTACCACAGTATTAGTTTGAAAAGGAAACTATTGTACTGCATGTAAGCAAAAGTATTACAGCAGTTAAAGCAGGTTTTAAACCAGACTGGTATTTTCGTAGGGTAAACAGAAAATGAGCACAAAGTTCATGTAAAAAAAAAAAAAGCCTCAAGTCAAACTTTTGCACTGAAGAGCAGAGGCAGATGAGTGTGACCTTTGGCAAAGTTTGTACGCTGACAGACAGGAGTAACCTGGCCAGGCCG